TACGAAACATAATGTTAATTTTGAATAATAAATATTCATATTTTGATTTCAGTTAATTCAGTAGATAAAAAAAAAAAACAAATATCTATAAAATCCTAACATGTTTTTGCTCTAATGTATTTTGACTAATAAAAAATAGGATTAAACGAGATTTAAATTTCTTTCATCTGACGAGAGAAGTTCTGCCCACTGATTAATCACTTTCAAATCATGATTATGCATGCCATTTAAATCCTAATGAATTATGAATGCACTGACAAGATTTCGAGTCTTTAGCTTATTGCTGCATAGATATGGCATTTTTTACAAGTCAATGTTGTAATCCCCGGGGTAGTAGCGCAAGAAAAATTAATTTTCTGATTTCGACTCGAAACTTTGTATACAGACAGATCTTAATGAAAAGTACGGCATAGAGAAAGTTTCAGATCTTTTCATTTTTCGTATTCTAAGAAACAGTTGTGGTAAAATTTTGTCGTTGAATTTTTCCACAAGGTCTGTTTCTGGGCTAAATTTCAAGACAAAATTCGGATATCAATTTTTCTGGTGTTTCTAACGGGGCCAATCTCATTGACTTTAAAAATGCTTCATGTTAACAGCAATAAATTAAAGGCCCACGCTCTTTTCAGGATTTTTATAGCTCATTATGGTCTATAGGATGCATTTAGTTTCTCGATTCAAAAGCGATTAATCAGCGGAAAAACTTCGCTTGCAAGGATAAAATAGAATTGTGTTTCTTCATTTCTTTTCAAATTATATTGTAAATCATTTCTCGAACGCATTTTCAATATTGCATTAGAAAATTCAATGAAGAAAATAAAAATAAATATAAAAAAAAGAAAATGTTTATAAGACTTAGAAAACAAAAAACAGTGTACTTTTGATATTATTAATTAATATAAGAAAGAAGTTATTTTTCTATTAAATTAATACATAAATATTCGACTTATTTCTTTTTATAAATAAAAATATAAGACGAATATATAATTCAATCATATTATTCATCTATGCATTGAAAAGGATATAGGTTTTATTGTAAATAAATTATGTTTAAATAGTAAAATGACATTTATTGATCATCTCAGAAATAATATGTAATTTATTATTCAAGAGTTTAACAATATAACTAATGAGAAAATAATTTAATTATTTTTAAGAAATCAATAAATAATAGCTTACTTTATTTGATTGTTATCATTTATTTTTTTGCCTAAAAATATAATATACAAATTTCATTTCTATTCATACCAACTTTGATTCTATCGAAAATATAAACTAAATATTTTTTTTAATAATATTTGTGATAAATAATAAAAACTATTTGATTAATGTTATACAAATTATTGATTGAATTTGTTGTGAACAAAAAGATTTAATAATCGAATTTTTTAACTAACAGTAACTAATTAATTTGATCAAGACGGAAAACAAGAACTACTATAGTTTTACGCTTTTTCAATATTATTTTTGTCGCTTTAACCTCATATGTTGCTCGTATTACTACATTAAATTTTAACACTTATGTCTAAATAATACTTGAAGCATATGAATAATAGAAAAATCATACGGATCAAAACAGGAAATAAAACAAGAACGCATACAATAGATTATGAGAGTGATAAACTAAAACTAGAAGAAGCAGAAAATGATAACAGTAACATTATTATTAACATTAATGATGATGAAGGGGTAAATGATGACATGGTCATCGATCAAAAAAACAATCATGATGATTACGGTATAATGACAATAAAAGAGTATTTCAACAGTAAAAATACGTTATGATTAAGTCGAACTTTGCGGGTGGGATTTTTATTTTGAACTGAAAAATATTTACGTAAATAATTAACGTATTCATTTTTAACTGATAAAAATAGACGTTTACCAAATGACCTATTTTCTTGATTATGTGTCTAATTAATTACAAAAGCAATAATAATCGCTTTTAAATTTCTTGTTCAAATAGGATTTTTCTTTATAAATTAAATTTGAAAAAACTTCAAAATATATTCATCTACCTTATATATATATATATATTGTCGTAGTTCCAACGTATTACTCCGTACTTCCTCACATTTCCGCACATTTCTTCATACTTCCCTACATTTTTCAAATATAGAAATACACATTTTCTTCGTTGATTTTTATTGGTCTTAGATGATTTTGAAATTCCTTCATGCAGTATAATGTTAAAGAGTCATTCAACATTATTGATGAAGTAAAAAATAAATTATTAAATTGAAACAGAAATAGATTCATGTCGGAAAAATATAGATTAACTTTCTTTTTATACTAACAATATCTTGGAGTAAAATTTATGATTATCATAAGAAGTATTATAAATTTTATGTAAAAAATTTTTTTTATTTTGTTTAATAATTATTACACATCAACTGTTTTTGTGTATCATAGAAAAATGCTTCTATATTTGTTATCATTCATCGATATCGGATTATATTTTTTTTTTATATCATGAGTTAATTGAAGTCTCTTGACATTTAATATCTTAACCATGGAATATAGCATTAAGCTTTAAAACTCTTTATCCTAAATTGATAAAATTTACTATTTTTTCCTTAAATTTTGCATTATACATAATTATTATCAAGGACAACTAGCAAGTTTTTGTTTTTAGTATTCTTATGAGACATTGTTCAATACACGTGTAATCTTAAAATCTTCACGTGTTCACATAAGATCCAACACAAATATACTTAGAGCATATGAAAAGTAATCGCGAAGACACTTAAATATTCTATAGAAAGTTTGAGGAAATCTTCTGATTATATATACTGATAGTATAAATAGTATTCTATATCTCTGCAATATTTCATCGTTCTTCAATTAATATAATCATAATAATATTTCGACACGAACTTGTTATTTTCATATTTGATGATAACATCAGATCATATTGTCTCTGCTGTATATCTGCTTTATTATTTATTCTATGTTCTATTCTTTTCTTCTGTTTTTCTCGTTGTGTCTAGGGCTTAGCGCTTTATATACATAAATAATATATATATATATATAAACTTCTTTAGATTTAATATTCTATAATCTTCTTTTTGTTTTTCAACTTGATGAAGGTAAAATGTAAACAATCAAAATTATTCCGGATCGTTGCATCATACCATAACTAATCTTTTGTATTCTTTAAACAACAAAGAGTATGGAAAAATTTTTGATAAATCGATTTCTATTTTTTCTTTTTGTTCCATCAACACTTCTTTTTTTGTGTATGTCATAACATGTATATAGACAGTTATGTATTAGACAAGACGAAAAAACAGAAGAACATACACAGTGAAAACTATATGATTTAATGTTATCATCACCTATTATAACAAATAGTTCTTATCGAAATTCTATGATTATGATATCATCAATTGAAGAACAATGAAATATATTGCAGAAATATAGGGCACTGTTTGTACTATCTAAGTGTATGTAAATAGAAAGTTTTTTCGAACTTTCTATAGGATATTGAAGTGTCTTCGCCAGTACTTTTGGTATGTTGATGCATTTAAGGCTTTTCCTCGCTCAGGAAATCTATTTTTGCAAAAAAAAACAATCGAATTCGAATTTTTATTATACGACAATGTAGGAAAATTTAACAAATTTTCGGGAGAATTTTTTCAAGCAACGGTCATGACTTTTTAGTTTTAGAAAGACTACCTTTTTATTTGCATCAGCATTGAATGAACATTCTTATGTAATTTAAGTATGAAAGATCGTGGCAGCTTACGTCATTTGTTACGTCCTTTTGAAAGCTTCACTTAAACATATTATGAATATGTCATTTTAATATGTTTTTCTCCGAACATGATTTTCAAGTAGAAAAATTGAAACTCATTCCACTTGGTTCAAGATATAATCAAGATTTTCAGTTTTTTTTTAAAGATTTAAATGAAAATAAACTGTTGTCTGATCAGATTTTTTACAGTTGAATTTGTGTGTTGAGAAAAGCTAAATGTAGTGTCATGAAGTGACATTTTTTTCTTATTTTAACGCCATATACAAGTACTAAAATGATCATAGAAAATGAACAGACGCATAACTTCAATATTCTGTTCAGATACCAACTGCGTAGAGGTATTTACTTTAATTTGAAACCATCCCAAGTTCTGTAGTGCTTGTAGTGGCGAACTTATAGGGATTCTCCTAAAGGCTATAAGCGGACTAAATAATAGCCGGAAGCTCATGGTAGTTTCAAGTATCAGGTTGTAGTTTTTATGAGATGTATTTTTCACTAGAACCACTCGTTTTTGACAATTTCAGCTCAATTATTATTGCGATTGAAAATAATGGGTGGGAGGTAATAAATCACACTAATTGTAAACACGATTTTTCAATTATTTACTATTCATATAAAATATTCACTTATTTTTCAAGCTCTACAAAACTGTATACTTCACTTTTACAAAGCTATATCTTTTAAATTTCAAATTAACCAGCACATAAAGGCGGTCTCCATATCACTTCTGTGGAGCTAACAACAAAAATGAAAACAAGTGTTATGTTGATGCTGAGAAATTCATTAAGTTTCTAAAAGAACAAAAATATTCTCAATGAAATCGCCCATTCTTCAAAACTTTAAACGACAGTTTCATGTAAAATCTCAAAACACAATGAATGAACAAAAAACCAAATTTATATCTATTATAGGGCCTAGTCGGTTTTTTTATGAATTCTGGCAAAAACATGTTGCAGTGCAGTTCAGTAATGATAAAACTGCTCAAATAATCATAGTTGGTAATAGAGCATTATCACTATATGCTTATGAATACTGCATGAGAATTAACCATTCAGTACAAAAAAATTTTCTCAATAATTATTCATTTTACACGTTTTTAAGTAATACATTCAGAAGATTAATATGAACGAGAGAAATACAATCTGAAACAATTGTTATATTTGTATATTAATTAAGAATTTATTATGATTTAAAAACAAAAAACAATAGATATGACGTGAAAGTTTGTGTTTTATTTATCATGTGTCTACGGTATAACTGCATCAACACATAGACGCGGACATGCTCCACAACACTTTTGTCCTGGTTGACAGTAACTATCAGACTTGCAACTTGAAAAGCATGGAAATAATTTACTTGGTGTATATGGACAACATCCTTCATGTTCATTTGGACAACAATACATTTTATCTGCCCGTTGATCATGTTTACATATACCACCTTTAAATGCACATTGACGATCTCCTCCACCACATGCTACATTCCAAATAGGATTACCAAATACACATGGATTACATTCACATGTTGGACAATTATTTCGATATATATATCTTTTACATCTGATTAAACAGAAAAATAAAGGACATCTTGGTTTAATAATAATGTTTGGTTTCGAAGACACAAGTGCAGGATTAATATCAGCATATGTTAATGTTATCAACACAATAAGTAAAATCAATGAAAATTGCATGATGAGAGACATTGTTTGTTGTATAATTTTTGATAATCTACCTTATGTATTTATATATGACGAGTTACTATAGCTTTGTATTTGTCCTTCATTATATAAAAATAATCGATTTCGTAGATTGTTTCTTAAAGCCTGACTCCGAATATGAATAATATTACACAATAGACATGATTTATTATCTATGTAATGACGTCACACCTTAATGTACATTTGTTTTTCGCCTTTTTTTTGTCTCGTAAACAAAATTGAGTCACACAAAAACAAACATATAAATATCGTGTGTCTATTCTAACTTTCGAATAAAAAAAGAAATAATATTTTATACAATGAAAGTCATATTTATTATTATTGTTGCATTTATTGGTACATTACATGTTGAATCAACATCTTCATCAATTGAAAAACGAGATATCATTAGAATACCTTTATGTGTATCTATAGCTATTTGTCGAATAAAATGTAAACGATATTTAATTCGAAATAATTGTCCAATATGTGAATGTAATCCATGTTTATATGGTCAACCACTTAGTAATATATCTTGTGGTCATGGTGAACGAAAATGTTTAGCAGCTGGTGGTATATGTAAAACTCATTCATGGTATGATAAACCTTATTGTTGTCCAAATGAACATGATGGATGTTGTCCAGCAATTCCTGTTGATAAAATTCCTCCTCGAGATCCAAATATTTTATTTCCATGTTTTCGAAGATGTTCTTCAGATGGTGATTGTCAACCAGGTTACAAATGTTGTGGAACATGTCCACCAAGATGTCTCCAAGCTTTTATTCCTTAAATTTTTATTAAACAAATAAGAATTCTTTTTTTATGCATTTCTTATTTAATGAAATAAATTGATAAAACAACAATTATATATGAATAAAGGCGGTCAATATTATTGATACAGGTGACGAATAACCGTGTTATCCTTATATTTCTCTAATAGTTTGATCTTTTGAGTTTCAGCTTTTATAAAAATGTAGTATGAAGTTTTCTAGTAATAAGTTTTATGTTAATTTAACATATATTTGATAATCGCAGACTAAAAATATTAAAATTATAGAGTTTTTCCTCTGCTCCAAACTATTGGTATTCATCACCTTTTCTCCTTTTCTTCTATATATTTGTGTAGCGTACACCCTCTTTCACTTTTTCATACTGAAAATATGTAGCTATTTCTTTTTTGCAAAGTTGAAAAGAAAAAGCGATCGCGTAACAAAAGTTGATTCTTTCTTGATTATCAGGTGTCAACTGTTGACATTTTATTTTTACAGCAGAGATAAAAAATCGAATGTTTTCGTCTTCAGTCGGAGAGATTAACGGTAAAATAACTTTATGAAGTAAATCAATATTCTACGAATAATGATTTACTATACAGTAAAGAAACACAAAATGCACAAATGCGAAAAAAAATTTTTGATGCTAACGGGTGCGGCAGAATAAATGGCGGTCTCAGTATTTTGATTATAACTTTTTTTCTTTTTGATCTTTATAACTAGTTGTTTTGCCAAAAGATGCATCGTGAAATTCTCTACAAAACCCTAAATAAACTTATTTCTGTAGAAAGTTAAGAGAAAAAAAGAAATGAATATTATTCAAAGCATAAAAAGTGCTCAACTTTCAAAGCTAACGAGTGTCTCATGCATGCTGGGTATTTGCATACCCTTTTTAATTATCAAGTAGGCGTATTTTAAAAACAAAGTACACCAAAAGATGCAGCGTGAAAAGCTCTACAATTTACAAAGAACAAGTCATTTTATATACATGCATCTTTTGTTTTTAAAATATGCAAAATTCTGTG